AAAGTATATAAACTGATTATTTACAAAACTGATTAAATGAATAGGATGTGGATACATAATGCTTATCGTCATTAAAAATAAAATTGAAGAAAACTAAAAAAAAGTATTTATGCATTTATTGTCGAACATTTATCTCAATCAATATTTTTATGAGTATTTCATTGTTTAAGATTGAACGACTACCTTATACAGACAAAATGGGGCGACAAAAAACCTAGCGTCGGGGCCAAGGAAGGCGAGACAGAGTAGGGAACAAAAAAGTGACCCCGTTTCGATCTCTGATCGTTATCGATTGACTCGGTGATGACGAAGTATGACGATGTGGTACGCATAATAATAATTTCAAGCTACATAGATAGAAAAGTGATCAAATCAGGACAAACGATATTTTAGAGCTCATACTTGATTCTAACACGGATATTACTGCTCGATACTTAACGACAACTATGTTGTTCTGCTCTGAAGGTTACGGACACGAGCTGTGAATGATTAAAATCGTAACGTATGGAAGCCATCATTTGGTATTGTGACTCATTGAAGAACGCTCGAGAAAAAAGCACACGATAGCTCTCTCTGAGTAGCAAATACTCTAATACTCATCTGTTATAAAACACTTAGTGCTTTGACAGATTTTTATTGAACTATAATTTAAAACGACTCTTTTTTCTTTATTTACTGTAAAAATGCTATCTGTCTAGTGCATAGTAAGAATATCAGAGACATTCTTATCCGTTATCCTAATTGAACATGTGATCAATCAACTACAATAAGATAGAAAGACTGTTGATGTACTCAAAATGTAATTAGAAAAAATATTTTTGACTAATACTTTATTAAACATTGAATTGAACATGGTAAGGGTTTATTTATTATAAGTAACCCTAAGAAAGCATGAAGTGTGATATTTTTAAAGCGATGCTTAAAGTAATTCTAACGAAATAACTACCAATAGTATTAATGACCTGGAAAACAATCCTTACTTGTTTTTTTTTCTAGTAGTTAAAACAAATAAGAATTCTTTGCTCTTCAAAAGATAGATATATTAATATAACAGACTAGTATTGCCTTGCATTATATTATTTGCTATATCAAAATTTATTATTCTTTGAGTAAAATTGTTTCATTTCCATGATCTGGTGTCTCCTTAGTAGTGCGTTCGTTTTAGCTTTACTGAATTTCGCGTATTTTATAAAAGCTGGTCAACATTGAATGGTTGATAAATTAATTTTATTGAGAATATTGAAAATAATTCAATGAATTTTTTAAAGATATTACTAAGAAAAAAATATTTCGTCTTATGCCTTATTGTGCTATTTATGTGTTTTTTCTTTTAGATTATTTTAATACAACGAACATGTGTGTGGCAGTTAACTTCTAGAACAACTTCCATAGTTTCTTATTTAACGCTTCAGGTAATTTACGAGCTACTAATTCTGAAAATGAATACACTTCAATATGAATAGGACGTGTCCCGGAAATATGTTTCGATTGTTTTCTTTTCATCATTTCGATTTTTTTCGAAAAAAAAAAAGAAAACTTATATGCTTTAAGCATTTTTCGATAATATGTTAAATTAACTTTGCAAGAAAAATTAACAATTATTGAACAAAAATATTTTTCTTAACACATTCGACGTGACTCTATTTGATTAGAGAGTAGCTCTAATAGATCCATTTACGTGTGCATTCGTCTTTCGAAAAATGCACTCATTGGCCTTTTCATTCTGTACTGGTTCGTTGTTTTCTCTTTTCTGTCTGTAACATCACATGGACAGCTACCTTTCTCAACGAACTGTATGATTTCTCAACTTTGTTATTCTTCTTCTCTCGTGTATTGCACAGTTGGAATTAGGTAGAATGTCGACTTCTTTTTGTCTTGTCTTCTTTTCTTTGTCGTCTCTTTGACTCAATTCTCTCGTGCGTATTAAAACACTGTTTTTCTTTAAAAAAGGGAAGGAAGAAGAGAGAAGATAGAGAGAGAAATTGGTGGTTATTCGACTATCGGTACGATGGTCTCTACAAGAAAAGCTATACTGCAAGAAAAGTGACCAGTCTGCAGTTTCGTGAAAGTCTTGTGCGATCTTTACTGCTTTACATGTCATTCGAGAAGCTGTAATCTAGTCCGAGACAAAAATCAACAAGCCACTGGAAGTGCAAACAGCTGGCTGTTATGAGAAAACCGAGCAACAACAATCAAGAGAAGCAATTAATGCGACAGCAAAGAAAATACAAACCTTCTATTCAGATTATGACAAAATTTTTTCTCTTGATTGTTTTAACGAGAAGCACCACGCTCTGCAATAAATAATTCAAACAATAGCAAAAGCAGATCAGATGACACACTATGTGTAACCTCCTGCGTAAGAAAAAAAAAAGAAAAGAAAGTATTTTTCTATTAAGTTTTTTTGTTAAAATATGGTGGATTCCACTGGTTAGTCCCATCGCCTCGAATATGTTAACACATTCTGTTTATATTGTAGTGTATCTATATCGAGAATCGAGTACTAAAAGTTTCAGTCATTGATGCAAGTCATCAAATGAGAAATGAATGAGATTCGCCAGTGTCTAAAATCGGGTATTCCGTAACATGTAGAGTGACTAAGTTAGATGTGTCTTTCATCAATTAGACGTTAGCTAAAGTTTCTTTATTTTTTTATGACTTTCATAGACTCACTTAGCTCGTGCTCATAAATGGAGACCTGTTCATTAGAAGGTCAATCACATGATATGAATCAACCAACTTCTCATTCAAGCACGACTGACGTTGAGATTGATTACATAACACCAACAGTACGCTATTCAGTGAAAAACGACGACACATTGAAGGAAGGTCTCGCGTATTTGAACGAGAATGGATATGTTGTTATCAGTGACGTACTGAATCAGGAGGAGATCGATGATAACAAAAAGTTGTTATGGAAATTTCTGGAGGATGCTTCCAATGGTCACATTCGACGTGGTCAACCAGAAACATGGTCAAATCCATGGTAAGCTTAGTTACTTCAAAAAAAAATGCTAGTCTACTGTTATTTTACTAGGCTCACTTCCTCTACACATGGCATCATCAATGGATATGGTATTGGTCAATCCGATTTTTTATGGAATGTTCGATCGAATCGACAAGTGAAAAAAGTTTATTCTCAGATATGGAACACCGAACAGTTGTTGGTTTCATTCGATGGATGTGGTATCTTTCGCTATTGGCATAATAATCCAGAATGGAAGACGAGAAGTGGCTGGTATCATGTTGATCAAAATCCAAAAAACAAACCAGATCGATGTTGTATTCAAGGTTTTGTTACGCTTACTGATCAAAATGAGAAAACAGGCGGTCTTATTGTTTTTCCACGTTCACATCTACGCTTTCGTGAATTGGATGAAGTGACAAAAGAGTCCAGAGATTTTATCAAGATTCCAAACGATCATTCAATCATAACTCGTGGCAAACTCGTTCATTGTCAAGCCGGTGATCTTGTTCTTTGGGATAGTCGCATGGTTCATTGTAATTCACCGGCTATTGCAATTGAAGAACGGGCAAAAGATGAACCAATCGATCTACTTCGTATCGTTGCCTATGTTAGCATGAGCCCGACTTCGTTTGTATGTGATCAATCGCTTGAAGAATTTCGTGAAAAACGAAAACAAATGGTGGAAAATAATCTTACTCTGACACACTGGAGTACAGAATTTGTCGTATCAGGTACAATTTTTAATTGAAATTATCTAAGCAAATGTATCTGTTCGAAATAATGTTTAGGTGGTAACCATACTGGTTTGCCCAAAGTATCGTTGGACAAGTTCAATGCCTACCAGAAAGCTCTGATCTTCGGTACTGATGAAAATAACAGTGAACAATTGTCCGTGTGATTTTATTATTACTTTCACAACTAATCATGGTTTTCGGTTTCGAAATACTAATACAACTAGCCTTAATTTTGTTCTTTTTGTTTTTTTTACACAAGCAAAAGTAATTGGAGTTTTATAAAATACAAAAGATATCGATAAACAATTTGCTGTATTCTGATGATCTTTTATCCGGATGACAAATAGTAATTGGCTGAGCGGTAAGGCTCTCACGATATGATAGAAAATAAATCATTTCTAATTCTTATGTTTGCTTTCCGAAAATGAATAAATGGTAGCAGTCATCAATAAGAATTCTGAAGAGTTCTAATTTATTTCTCATTTTGATAAAGAAAATCTTTGAAAACTTGACAATGACTTTTATTTTATTTGTTGTATACATATAATAGTAAAGCTTAAGTCAGAGAAGTTTTCCTCAAACTTGTTCAGATAAATGTGAGTATATTTTTGTTATTCATGTATGTCTTATTTTGTTTTTACTTTGTTTTTTTTCGAAGAAGAATATATTTTTCATTAAAAACGATGCAATTTGTTATTTAGAGCAGAGTACCAACAGATACTTAGTCGATAGAAATAACAAATGTTGATAACGAAAACTATAACACAATATTTATCCTTAAGAGAGGATCCATCAGAAAACCGACTAGGAAATAGTCGCTTGGCTGAAGAACATGTTTTTGTTTTTGGATATTAATTATCTGAAAACAAAGACATCGTAGAGATTGTACTAAATTCAAAATATGAACTTGATCTGACAATCCGTTGCTGACTTATGAGGTACGCTCTGATAGCATGGCCTACAGATCTAGAAGAACAATGACCAATTTTAATAAAAAATGCGTCATTTTTTTAACGTTTTTTCAAAGTATTTTGATCCGTCAGATCTAAAATTGGAGATCTCCCGATATTTTATTACACCAGAAGAAGGTTCGTGAAAAACTGCATCTTCTGACGTAAAAATATCTACGAAAAACGATGACTGGAATAGTCAACTTTTTCGAATAAAGAGTACGACTACAGGTTTGCCAAACATGTTTTGCCCGGAAGGTGCAGTTCCAATGAGGATGTGGGTGCCGATGGCAGGAACAACCACATCTCAGTAACAAAGAATATGTGTTGTTAGTGATCGATTTCAATTTTATTATTGTTTGCTTCAATATCTTATGTTGGCATTGTATATATATTTGGGCATGTAGCAATACAATTAGAACAAAAAGTAGATGAAGAAATTGCAGAAGTATTTAGTTCTCTTTGCCGTATTCATGCTGATAACTGTATCTTATCCAACAATAATTGATAAGGTGACGGCGATCTGATCGATTTCCTAAATTTTTATATTCAAATTGTCATCTGGGGATGATTATAAAACTTTAAAAGAATTATCAAGAGAGATATATAGGGATAGTGTACATTGAGCTGTAGAACATACAAACGATCTATTGTTTATTTGAACGCTGAATACGTAAAGCCAAACGAACTCTCAATAAACCTCAACTGTACGCACATAAAGCAATATCAACTATAAACATATTTCATTTTTTATAAAATCAAAAACTCACTCTTTGTTTATTGTTTTTGTTTCGTTAATTAGAAAATGAAATTTTGCTTTGTAAAAAAAAACATGGTTGACTCGATTGGAATGAATTAATATGAAACTTGATCTTGTTTACATGAAATAATTAAATAAATTTATACTATAAAACGTTCACATGAGAGATGCTTATGAATTTTTATTTGGTTATAATTCCATTGAAAGGTTTTTTTTTGAAGAATTCATCTTATCATTGAATGATGAATCTCAAATTTATCGAAATAAAACTGATCTATAAAAATTCATTGAAATTTAAATATTAAAAATCAATTTTTTTTCATTTTATTTAAATTATATTAAGAATAAAATTTGATAAATCTATACTTTATATAATATAATATCTGATAATCAACTCTTAGTAACAAGACTTCAAACGTGGATTTCATTATAAGAAGTTTCTCTTATTTCGGTTGATTATTATTCAAATCAAAATATTCCTAATGTATTAGAATTTGTTCACTAATTTATTATAAATGAATAGGGTTAAAAGAGTGCATTCCAACTATGTATACAGTGTATCGTTGAATAAAAGATCCATTTTTGTCGCTGCTTGTCATTTTGTTGTGTTCTTATCGTTATGAGCTTTGTCATTTATGAGTCATAAATGTTATATTAGTACATTTCACATTCTCCATTTTTCTTTTCTTTCCTCGATTTTTCCTCGTGCTGTCGTTTCGATGACGTTCTCATCTATTTTTCTTGTAATGACTCATACATTATGAATTGCTATATTAGATGAGTTACATATAAAAATTGTTCTTTTTTGAAGATTTACACAAACGATTTGTGCACGCAAGTAATATTTTATATTAGAATGAATAGTTGCCTAAACATTTTTTAAATAGCTTATTCGAAATAAGAATAATTTTGAAATGAAAATTGGAATAACTAATAAATATAATTAATAATAATTATTGAAAATTTTAGTAGAATTATTTAGAAGTATACTTTTCACCAAAGTTAATAATTTTTTCATTTACGAGACACAACTTATTCATTTTAAGTTTATAAAAAAAAAATATGATTTTTCTGAATTAATAATTTCGAATTTTACAATTCGTTAATAAATATTAAAGAAAAAGTTTTAATATTATTTTTTTTAAATTTGATAGTTTCAATGAAGAAAAGATTTCCTATTTGTACCTCTTCTAACCAATCTGAATTATTCTTTAGAAATTTTCAGGGTGTGGGTGTGGGTGTGGGTCTCTTATTTATTTTCACCCATACCTCCTCAATACCCACACCCACACCCACCCCTGGTTTAAAAATTTTTCCTTTTTTGAATCATTCGTATAGATACTTGCCACTTTATAAGAATCTTTAATAAACTCGAAAAACTTTAGTTTTGTGGTAATTCTTCACACCCACATCCTATTATCAATAGGGAAATTACACTTAAGTATGGCAACGGCTAGACGTAAGTGGCTCCGCGCAGGGACGCCAACGAACGACTAGCCGCTGATTGGAAAGCTTCAGGGAAAGTACGCTTCTGGCAGACCCAAAATCCATAGAACAGTTACTAACCAATCGAGTTTAACCGGTTGAAATAGTGTCCTCAATCAGCAAAAAACGAAAAGCAATTTTCTTTCAAATTAATTGTACGAGAGAATTATTCTCAACATGTACAACATTCTTAATGCACGTTTGGCGAAAAGCGTTACTTAACGAATTTTCACCGTAAAAGCATCCGTGTAGAAAAAAGCAGTTGTCTTGTGGCTGAATCTCAAAAGATAATAATTGTGAAAATTGGATTGTGGATAACTGGTATGCAGAAGTAACATGGTTTTCCTTTATGCTTATTGTAAGAAGAAACATTAGATAACAAATAGAAAGGTTAACGTTTTTTCAGATTTCTCTATGCTAAAACATAAATATTGAACCTCTTGAAACACATCAGAAAGCATTTAGTTCTAGGAGGTTGTATGATCCTCTCTAGTTTTTTATTCTTTGTGAGTGTAAAATCCGCTACAGCCATTCATCATCAGATCTAAATCTGAATCATGTAAAGGTTTTATTCCAAACCCACGCTGAAAAGTCGTACACTCTATGAAGTTAGGTGACACGCATAGGACTTAATTCTATAGGCGCAATCTGTGTCATTACGCGAACAAAACACTTTGGAAGTCATGTTTAGCTCAATCTACGAAAAACGATTGAAGTTCTAAAACTATTGAAGGTGTTTGAATTCTAATGAGGAATAATCTGAGCGCTAATACGTTCTAATTTATTTCGTTTCTATCTTTCACTCGTGGAGAAGAACCGATCTTTAGAGATTGTGGTTTACTCAATCATATATGTGTTTGTCAAGGATAATCAGAATAAATATAATGAATTCAGTCGAGGGTAAAGTGAGTCGTACCGACGAACGTTACTTGTAAGATAATTCTATAGGAAAAACTTTTCATGCTTCATGTGAATAATACGTTCACCTCATGTCTTGAAGTTTTCGTCAATGAATACTAAAAGTTTGTAAATTTTTGTGGCTACAGATTTCATCAAAACTACATAGATTGGTTTGAAAGTCTTTCATTTGGCAGAGAAAAAATGAATTTTCTCTTCCAAAAACTAATTATTAATAATATTTAAAATAGTTCAGTTTGGCTTTTATTTCTTATGTTCATCCATTTTCTGGATCATTTGCGTCACTCTGAGTTGAGTCGTTTGTCTTAAAGATTTTAAGTGTTTGATTTTTATTAGATCAATTAATAAGTTTGATGATGTGATTACAATTAAGTCTAAATATGCTGGAACGTTTCTGAGTTATGATTAGCGTAACATAATTATATTTGAGATAGTATATTGAACTGAGTTTCGTGATTATTTTAAATCTTAAACGAAATTCTTTGAAGTACTATTCTCAAAAACACAAATTATTTGATAAATCACATGTCATATCTTTGCTGGTTTTTTTCGTAACGTATAAGAAAACCAACGGACGTGCACATAAGAAAGAAGCGACAACATTGATTGACTTATATATAATCAGTAATCGTTTAGCAACCATCTAAACAAATCAAATAACTATGGTCAAAGGAAATTGATTAGTTTTGAAAAGAATTTTCAAAAAAAAAGAATGATAATTGTTTCAATTAAATCGTTCAATATCAGTATATAACTTTAGTTTTGATTTCAAATAAAAAATCGTATCGTTTCAATTGTTAGACTACTAATTGAGTTTTACTCCATTAATATAGTTGCAATCAGTAGATACTTATTTCAAACCAAGGTAAATTGTACTTTAAAAGTCTTCTTTAAATCACAA